TAAGGGTGTGGATTTGGTGTACCTGGATTTTCAAGAAAGCCTTTGACAAGGTGCCACAATAAAAGGCTTGTAAAAAAATGATCTTTTTACGTGTGGGGGAAAAGTAAGCAATTTGGATAGATGAATAGCTGGATGGAAAAAAGCAGAGGGTTGTTACAAATGGAGTTCGGTCAAATTGGATTAATGTCACAAGTGGGGTACCTCAGGGTTCAGTCTTAGGACATTTGTTCTTTTTGATTTACATCAATGATATAGATGAAGGAATGGTCAATAATTTACTGAAATTTGCAGATGATATTAAGGTCTTTGGTGTTGCTAACTGTGAAGAGGATGCTGTTGATTTACCAAAGGATGTACATCATTTAGTGATTTGGGCAAATAAATGGCAAATGAGTTTTAATTATAATAAATGCAATATAATGTATGTGTGTTATCATAATTTGAATTATAAGCATAATTTGAATGGAATAGCCTTAACAGTGTCATGAAAGAAAGGGATCTTGGTGTAATGGTTGATCCCTCTCTTAAGCCATCCAAGCCATGTGCTGTTGCTAGTGGTAGGGCAAATAGGATTTGAGGTTGTATTTACATAAATATTGAATACAAACCTAAAGATGTTGTAATTTCATCATATAGGTTACTGGTCAGGCCACATTTGAAGTACTGTATTCAGTCTTGGGCTCCTTACCTTAGGAAGAACATTGAATTGTTGGAGAGGGTTCAGAGGAGGGTTACTAGAATGGTGCCTGGGATGGAGGGGTTGTCATATGAAGATAGATTAAGATCTTTGAAATTGTTTTATCCTGTAAATAGAAGAGTTGGGGGAATCTGATTGAAATGTTCAAAATTGTGAAGGGAACTGATAGTATTGATGCATCATCTTTTTTTGTACTTGACGGCTTGAAGAGTAGGACTAGGGGACACAAATATAAATTTTGGCAGGATAGGAGTCATCTTCAGCTAAGACAGTTTTATTTTTCTAACAGGGTGGTTGGGCTTTTGAATGTGTTGCCTTTGAATGTTGTGGAGGCAGTAAATTTAAGTGAGCTTAAGAGAAAGCTTGATAAATATATGACTTTAAAATTAATTTATTAATAGTCTTAATTCAGTTTAGAAGATGAAATAGCCGAGATGGACCAATAGCTCCCAAGTTGTTCCAAAACATTATGTTATGCTATACAGTGTTAATGAGCATAATATCACAATCTTCCTTTGCACTAGTCACATTCTTGTTTCCACTCTTTGGATTTGAATGAAACTGATATTCAATGCCCTTATTTAATGATACTTTTATTGTAACATACAGTTTCATTGAACAGTGATAAAAAGCAATTTTATGCACCTGTGATAAAAAATAATTTATTAATTAAAATGTCATTCTAATGTATGTTTGATACATTATAAATAAAATTACAGTAGATTATACTGCAAGCAATAGTAAAAATTTCAAAGACATGGACTAAGTGAAAAGGATATTACACAGACAGATTTTGTTTGTTTGATATTCATGCAAAGCTACAAAAGAACTAACTCTGCTAGTCATCTCCAATTTTGAGCTGCTATACTTGAGGGAAGGCCAGCTTAATCAACACTATACACTGCCAACTCTGTAACCACTCTAATCAAATAGTGGGACTTAACTGTCACTTATAATTACACCCATATGGTCTTTAAAGTGTAGAACACAAATTTCTTTTCTGCAAGAGGATGTGAACCACAGAGCTTTGGATTCACAGTTCTGCAAGATAACCACTAAGGCCGTGTCTGGCCCAATTCAGCCAGAGAGAAGTTTTACTAAAGAATAGTTTATACTGGTGGTAACACAGTTCATTTGCAATTTTTTTCATAATATCCTATCACCATATATTTTTTATAAACTTTATCCATCACAAATGAATCATATCATGATAACTGTGCTTTTTTACTTAGAAGAAAACCCTTTGGAAACAAGACTTTTGGAACCCATGTATATCAAATAAAAATTTATATAAGTCTCATGACATATTATGCAGTTTTCTATTTAACTAAAAAGTTAATTTCATAATGTTCAAGAAATAATATAAATCAATTACAATATTTCTCATCAGCAATTATTCAAAGCAAATTTAAAAAAAATACTCTTTATGCTAATTGTCTTTTGAACAATATTTCATTCCTTGATATCCCAGTATGATGTAAGGTGTCAGAATACTAAACACTATTTTTTTTTTATTAATTATTCAGTACTCTTAGAGTAAAAGGACAATTTTGTTTAACAGCAAGCCTTCTGTTATACTACTCACTTTAACGGTTTTTAGAATATTATCATCTACATGACCTAAAATTCTTCACAATTGCATTTATAAAATTATGAATGCAGTATGGTAGAATATATATTAGTGGAAAATGAGAAACTAAAAACAGTGTGGACTAAATTCATTGTTTTAAAATCATCCTAATATTAGTATGTCTTTAGCTTTGACATAATGGTTATTTGATGAAGGCAATATCTCTTAAAACTCGTGTACCAAACAAGTGCAAGCTGACACTAAAAATAGAACATATAAATTTTTTTTTCCCTTCAGAAAATGGTGAGGAAAACATTGAGAAATGTTAGAGTAAGTTGTTACATAGTAAGAACATTTTGTTTCTTCAACAAAGACAAATCTCACCTTATCCTTTAGTCTACGGATTTCATTAGTGTTAAGTGTGTCTGCCTTTGCTATTACAGGAATAATGTTTACTTTCTGATGCAGGCGTTTCATGAATTCAATATCCAAGGGTCGAAGCCTGGTAATAGAAGAAAAAAGTTTCAAAAACAAACCCATTTTGATTTGACAAGTTTTCATATGATCAATCTTAAAATTCATTATCTTGACATGTCTTTTAATAAAAGTGAAACTGTCGTGTAGAAACAAAGAAACCAGGACACTTAATAAATATTTTTGTGTTACTGAGGCCAAAATCTAAACACAGTATAAGCACATCTCACACTTTCTTTTATAGGTGTGCATTTTGCAAAAGCTTTATGTTTACATGATTTGTACAGTTATAGTTTACAGATAAAATAAATCTCCAATTTCTATTGTAAGACATAACAGAAAAAAACAAAACAAAGAATGCAATTTTTATGGCTCTTAATTAATCTAATTTAGGGTTATAATAATAAAAACAAATAATGCAGTTTTATGGGTCCTAATGGCTATAATTTAGGTTTATAATTAGCAAAATTTCACCAGATTTTACAAGAGTTCTTGAATGGTCTAAAACAGAATAATATATAGATATTCACAAAATCCAAAATAAGTCTTATAAATACATGAAAGTTTCATTTAAGAGAATAGTGTAAATTATATGTTCAGTGCTTTAATTTAGGTGTTAACTAGAGAGCACAGGAAGTTAATATCTAGTAAATTCCACTTAGGTCTAAATAGACACATTATTTATAAATATGAGTAAGCAATTCAAAGAATACCAGTCAGTCAGTGAAGTATTTATTGAGTAGTGATTGAGAATTCAGTATGTGAAATTGAGTAGTTGTTTATTGATAAAAGATTAATCGAGTAAAGTTGATTAGTAAGTTAGTGATGGTTATTATCAATCAAGTAAATTTATGTTGAAAGTGAAAACAATATTTGTGTTCCCAAGCCTATAACTGTGTACCAATGATAACAGCCTATAGCAGATGTTAAAGAACAAATAAAACTAATTGGCTATTGTTACATGAACTAGATCTTGCATTATTTTCACAAAATAATATAAAAATTAAAAGAACCTGCCCAACAAAAAACCACATTACATAGTATAAGCATAAACTGACTACAAGCAGAAATCAAACCTATTTGTCAAACAGAGAACAATGGCATACAAACTATTTTAGATTTTCCTTGAGATCAAAGACACATTTATAGAAATTTCTCCCTTTGAAATAAACAATTTTAAGGTAGTACAATTCCAAAAATGTTTATTACATCTTAAGTCTCATTTTTTATTAAGTTGTTGCGTTAGCGAAGTCACATGACTAGTGTCACACCACGTTTTTAGAACT